AATAATGCTATTAATGGGAAATACCTTTGATTTTCGAAAACTTAAAAAATAATTTAAAACCAAAGGAGATTAATAACTTCGGTACTGCACCACATCAAGTTAAAGTTTTTTTAGCAAACCATAGTAAGTTTTCAAAGCTTTACGTTGTTAACGTTACATGTTACATGTTTTGTGGCCTGTGTATTTATTTATTTATATATTTGCCAACAGAATAATTAACACCTATAATACAGTTTGATTAGAAGGACAGTTTGAATAAGTCGTAAGTTCTACAGTTCTTTTCTCAAATGTAAACGTTGGTTGTTGGTACTGCTACTTTTCCTTAGAACCGGTGGTAGCAGTAAGAATCATTTTTACATACAAACACATCACTATTTTCACTATTTATTTATAAACACTGCACCTTATTGCTTAATAAATTTAATTGATGTCTTAGTGTATAATTTTTAGCGTTTTCTGTCTGGACTCAAAAATGTGTGGGCTCAATTCTGTATTTGTGTGTGTATGTCTGTTGGTAACGCATTAATGTCCTTATTTTTCGTGGAAAAGACAAGAGCACCATTGTTAATAAAAATTTCAACCCGAATAAAGTGTTCAGTAGTGAGGTTGAGGTAGTGTTTTAACTACTTTTAACCAGTGTGAAAAGTAACTTTATATTACAGGCCTACCTTATTAGGGCTATGCCTGTAAAGCAATTCCTTTCATCGTTTGATATAAAATATGGACTAACACGATCGGGTGACATTTAATTGCGAAGCATTCGTTTTGGCTTTGAAACTGTCAGATATTGTATTTGAGAAGGTTTATATGTATTCCTAAACAGTTATAGTTTTGCCATCATATCTGGAAAAATGCACACTAAATATGCAAACCAACTCCTGTTCTGAATATAAGGTTTTAACTTACTACTAGATTCCCGTACGTAGAATGGGCAAACAGCTAGTTCACAAATAAAGTTTATTCAATAAGTTATGGCTTGTTGAAAAGACCTTTTTTCTTGTCCTACAAATCAAGTTTATAAGGTGTGTATTAAAAATAAATTATTAAAATAAATTATTAAATTAGTTACAAGCTATTTCGGCATTATGTCAGGTACTGGTGTTAAGTTCTCAGACTTGATTAAGCAGTATGATGGAAGTGGTGATTTTAGTGAGTGGTTAAAGAAACTAGAATTGGTATGTAAGCTCCATAAGGTGAAAGACTCGCAGACAGTTCTCCCCATATTTTTGGCTGGAGGAGCATTTTCTGTATATGACGGGCTTACAGAAAATGTCAAGAGTAACTATGAGGCTCTCACCAATGCATTGTTGCAGGCCTTTTCTGCGAACTGTTTTCATGCTTATGCAGAATTTACAGCTAGGCGTCTACTCCCCGGTGAGTCACTAGATGTATATGCTTCTGATTTGAAGAGACTGGCCAAATTGGTGGACCCTTTTGTATCTGATAAATGGATTAAGAGCGCAGTTGTACATGGCTTGCCAGAAGATACTCAAACCCAGTTGAAAGCTACGTGTTCTCTTCAAAGCATTGAGTTGTCGGATGTAACGACAAGATCTAGGAATCTATTGGGCAGTGAGTTAAACTTTGGGGCGGTTGCACAGGCTAATTCCGAAGTTTTCAAAGTTGGTAAACAGTGGCCTAAAAATGCATTGATTGTGACAGGGAAGGCCACGTAGCACGTTCATGTCCCTATCTAAATCGTGAGTCTAAAGTAACCTGTTACCGGTGCGGGGAGGTAGGACATTATGCCTCAAAATTTTCACAAATTCCAAAAAACGAGTGAATGGGGCTGCCTTATGTTGAGCGGGTGGCCCAATTTCTTCAGCGCAACTCCCTACATTAACAATAAGTGTGTCGGGTTTTAAATGCTGTGCCTTTCTGGACTCAGGTTGTTCAAGGAGCATTGTTTCACCTACTTTAGTGAAATATGGAGTAGAACTGAATGATGAATGGGGAAATGTTTAGTGTAACATGACATATATGTTACAAGTTTTGATAAGAGGTGTTCCGCTCACACTGAGTTGTTTGGTTGCCAGTGTATTGCCAAGGTATCAGATGCTTCTAGGGATGGATGCAGTGACTGCAATGGGAGGTGTCAATATTGATGGAGATGGCACTGTTACGTTGATATCGGAGCGATGGCTGAGGCCAAGAAGGAGTTGTGCGTGAAGGAAACCTCGGAGAATGGCATCGATGAGATCGCTATTAATTATTGTGACTTCAATGCGAAATTTGTTGATGGAAAATGGACTGTTGAATGGAATTGGAAAGATAGCGGTAAAGCAAGTAAGATAAATAACCAAGTACCTTCATACTCAATTTCAAAAGAGGCAAGGGAGGGGTTTGACGCTGAAGTACATGATTGGATAAGAGACGGTTGGCTCCAGCCTTATGACGGGGAGTTTGATGGCTTAATTCCTTTAATGGCGGTCGTTCAACATAACAAGGACAAAGTGCGACATTTAACGGATTACAGGGAATTAAATCAGTATGTATCAAGCCATACAGCAGAGAGTGAGGTTTGTGGGGAAAAGCTAAGGATGTAGAGCTGGGAGAATATGTGAGCATTATCGACCTTCGTAAGGCCAATCTCCAAATTCATATTGCTCCTCATTTATGGAAATTCCAAGTGGTCCTATTTAATGATAAATATTATTGTCTAACGCAACTCGGGTTTGGTCTAAATGTTGCACGGAAAATAATGAGCAAAATTGTTAATAATGTGCTATCAATGGACCCAATAGTCCGAAGTGCTACGGACTCTTATGTTGACGACATAGTGGTGAATGAAAACATTGTTGACGGTGAGGTAGTAAAGGAGTTGTTGGAAAAATATGGGCTGTCAGCGAAACCAGTAGCCACTTGATGGAAGTAGGGTTTTGGGGCTTAACATTTCAAAAAGAGCTGGCAAGTTGATGTGGACCAGAGACAACAAGATGAAAGCTTTGGATAAAATTGAGACCAAGAGGGATGTGTACTCCTTGTGTGGGCAGTTAATCGGACATTTCCCGGTGGCTAGTTGGCTTCGACCAGCATGCAATTTTCTTAAGAGGCAATTGACAGATTTGAAATGGGACGATGTGGTGGGCAACCGAATCAAGATAATGTTAGGAGATATAATGGAAAGCGTAAAAGAGAAGGATCCTGTGTTTGGAAAATGGGCAGTGTCATCTAGTGATAAAGGAACTGTGTGGTGTAGCTGTGGGCTAGCAGCTTGGCGATCGGTATTTGCATTGAAATTGATGGTGAAATAGTTGAGGATGCGGGGGACAAAATTGTTGGGACAAAATTGAAAATCGGGAAATTGTTGTAATATTGAGCGTTACCGATAATAAAAAACCTATGTTTTACACTTGTCAAAAGATATAGGCCTATTTTTGCGTTTTATTAGGTACTGCATGGATAGATTAACACTCGAAATCTATTTATGTATTTTTTAATCGATGAAAACTTATTAAAAACTTTGATAAAAACCGTCATTTATAAAAAAAAAAACTGCTTACCTAATAATGAAGTAGATTTGCCATTGAGTTTAAATTAATTAATTTTCCGATGATAAAACAAATAACTCTATCTTATTTTAATTCTAATTTCATTAGCTTACACCAATATAAAAATGAGTCATTACATAATCTTATATTACAACTAGGTAAACATTTCACGGTGTTAGTTTACGTACATCAACGGCGCTTGAGTGATTGTGTTTACATTAGCAAACAGTTTTTCTCTTTCAAAATATTTGTTTTGCAGATTATTCTGGAACAAATTTGATATTTTACTTCTGTCACAAAAAAAATAATTAATATACAATCTTAACAAGTATTATTTTCACGAAAGGAAACGTTATTGTGAAGTGCTTTTACATTACAGTAATTATATAATTAAATATGTGATAACTAACTAATAACTGACCACTAATAAACTAATAACTAATACTAATACGTCTTGTGAGTAACAATATAAGCGTAAATATATGTTTTAAGTGTTATAAGACGCCTCTTTTATTTACTTTCCGTAAATATTTGATACTTAAACAATTCAGGGTTAATAAAAATGGAAGTGTAATATATATTATATTAAGTTGATATTAAGATCCATATTCAAGTAACCTCAGAATTTAAGTTACTAGCATTAATTGTAGTAGATGTATATGTAAATGCAATCAAACAAACATGTACGTTAGTATTCCAAAATTCTTTTTTTCATACCTCAATTTAATTAGATATGCTAATTACATACAGTCAAAAACGTACATGGTAATAAATAATAATGAAAAATATTTTTGGTCAATGGTGCAATAATGTCATATCTATTACAGTCATAAAACTAATGATCGTAGCCAAGCATATAAAGAGGCATTATCATAAGATACAATAAAGATAACCTTTTCCATTTCAAGTAAAAATTCATCAAACTTTTACGATCTTACTGAGTATAAATAGTGAAAGTCACTTAGTTCAGCACATTAATTCAACAGCTACAGGTAAGATCATGCTAGTGCATAATTATTTTCTTTAGTCCACTTTCTTAAGACTTACCAACAAATTTATTAACAAGTCACTAAAATGCACAACAGTTGGTGTTAATTTCCTAAAATTATTTATTTATACATTTTCCTAATTATCGTATTATAGGTGACATAGTTTGTTAATTAAATAATAATTAAATTTTATTTTCATATTTAAAATGCATTAAACATTTTTATATAAATATATGTATACCTCATCAGTAGTACCGTCCTTTCAATTACACAAAAAATATTCCATGCAAAGCACTCGTGCCAATTGTATTTCTATGTAAAAATATATTTAATTGTACTACATTTAATGCAAATACATGAAACTACTTAAAACTTCACAGATTCAACACAGACTCTGGACAGTTCCAGGGTTTTCATTGCAAATGGTTAGTGGATATTGGCAATGCTGAAACTAAACCAACTACTGAAAAGATCAGTTTTATCAGCATTGATAACGATGTTTTATTTTTATTTTTAGGATTTAACACTCACAATGAAGTTTGCAGCTGTAGTAACTATTCTAGTGGTCATCGCCTCCGCATCACACCAACAGCCAACGAAACCTCCTACTAATACTAAGCCAACGAAACCTCCTACTAATACTGAGCCAACGAAACCTCCTACTAACACTAACACTGCTGTGGTAGGTAGTGGGCTAATGAAAATAAAAATTCTGGGATAAAAAAGGGGCTTGCCATTAAAGTTTTTTTCAAGATATTATTTAACTATGAATTTTTTATACTTTTAACGAATTGCTTCATAACCTACTCTTAGAGTAGGTAAAATTTTATAAAGAGATGTTTTATATAAATAAACTCTGATAGGGATAATGAACTAAGTTTTAAAATAAAAAATCATCATAACAATCTTACAATCGAGATTAAACTATAAGGATCAAAATATAGATTAAAGTGGATCTTAATTCATTTGTTGTTGAGTACGACAAATAAAACTAAAATATTTTAAAACCATATTCAACTATATGAATTATCTTGCTGTTAAGGAACTAAGCGACAACTATTGCAATACAATTGTTATAGTGGTAAGCACGAGAACAGTTTTATTTCAATTCAAACATAAAGAAGAAACAGTGGTAACAAGCTTGGAAATCGTAGTCGAAAACTATGTTTACTAGTAACAGATTTCAATATAATTGTTTGGATTGTTGGATTGAACTATGAGAGTATTTTCATCACTATATGGCTATATAAGATTTACCACTGTGGCCTTTTTGTAATGCCGTTGATTGGTTAATAAAAGGTTTTGTCATATAATATCCGAATTCGTGCAATCAAGTTTTTGTAATTGTTTTTATTTAAAACTATTACAACAATGTATTTTTTCGTAAAATATAATCAGAAATTGTAATATCCGTTATTACGTAGTAATCTTTGAAATTTATAATTCCTATCTACATTTTGTCATATATCATTCTAATGTCAGTAAGCTTTCGGGATGTGATATGTTTTAAAGATTTTGTTATCATTAATGGGAGACCTTGCGTTTTAACCACGGCTAGCGGATTTGAGTTTTTTAGTTCTATTTTCTTTTTACTTTTTGCACTAGTTTATGATATTATTTACAAAACTAGTGAACAGATATGTGGCAGATATGTTCTTAAATAGCACTATTGTACCCTAATTTGTTAACAAACGCCTACCTACACTGTTCTATCTGTTTACAGGCTGCCTCCGCATCTCACAAACAGCCAACGAAACCTCCTACTAAGACTCACACTGCTGAGGTAGGTAGTGGGCTAATGAAAATAAAAAATCTGGGATAAAAAAGGGGGTTGCCATTTAAGTTTTTTTCAAGGTATTATTTAACTATGAATTTTTTTACTTTTAACGAATTGCTTCATAACCTACTCTTAGAGTAGGTAAAATTTTATAAATAGATGTTTTATATAAATAAACTCTGATAGGGATAATGAACTAAGTTTTAAAATAAAAAATCATCATAACAATCTTACAATCGAGATTAAACTATAAGGATCAAAATATAGATTAAAGTGGATCTTAATTCTGTTGTTGTTGAGTACGACAAATAAAACTAAAATATTTTAAAACCATATTTAACGATATGAATTATCTTACTGTTAAGGAACTAAGTGACAACTATTGCAATAAAATTGTTACAGTGGTAAGCACGAGAACAGTTTTAATTCAAACATAAAGAAGAAACAGTGGTAACAAGCTTGGAAACAGTAGTCGAAAACTATGTTTACTAGTAACAGATTTCAATATTGTTTGGATTGTTGGATTGAACTATGAGAGTATTTTCATAACTATATGGCTAAATAAGATTTACCACTGTAGTCTTTTTGTAATGCTGTTGATTGGTTAATAAAAGGTTTTGTCATATAATATCCGAATTCGTGCAATCAAGTTTTTGTAATTTTTTTTATTTAAAACTATTACAACAATTTATTTTTTCGCAAAAGATAATGAGAAATTTTAATATCCGTTATTACGTAGGAATCTTTGAAATTTATAATTCCTATCTACATTTTGTCATATAACATTCTAATGTCAGTAAGCTTTCGGGATGTGATATGCTTTAAAGATTTTGTTATCATTAAAGGGAGACCTTGCGTTTAACCACGGCTAGCGGATTTAAGTTCTGTAGTTCTATTTCTTTTTTACTTTTTGCACTATCTTATGATATTATTTACAAAACTAGTGAACAGATATGTGGCAGATATGTTCTTAAAACACGTTCGCGGCGGCACGTCAAATGGCGGGCGTACCCCCAGTGCGGCGCAGCCCGCAGCGTCAAAAAAACCCGATTGCCGCGTTTGACTGGCTTTCCAATTTCGGTCTGACAAATAGCAAATAACGTGCGAGGATGTCCTGCTTTAAGACGAGAGTCGACGTAGTTCGCTAAACACTCACAGATAGCAGCACTGCTTGGAACATAGCCGGTCCTATTGGAATTGTATTGCCAAATGGAGGGAAAAATGCGGGACAAAAAGTAGATTTTTGAGTCATGGATTGTATGCGCAACGTTTATGTTTACACTTTTTTTATTATGATGGAAACAGAGTGGCCGACGTGAAGTTGCCACGCACCAAAGCCACGGGCTTATATTAATGGGAGGCTATGATTAATATTTTTGCGAAACTTAAATATAAATCATAATTTAGAAAACGCTAAGTAAACTGTGATGATATAAAATAAAATTCTTTGTACACATTGTATTTTACAACTATAACTCATCATATTTCTGTTATACAAAAATGAAGATGAAATGACATTTTTAAATTGATGACTAAGCATAGCAACAAATTATATTTTATTGCAACAGTATATAAAGTCTGATGCTTTTAGATGGCCTTCACATAAGAACTAAATAAAGAGTTCATTTCCAAGACAAATTATTATACGTATCTATTTTTTTATTCTATTGTTGATCTTCATTACTTTCTATCTTTTTCAGACTTCTAGAGAATTGCTTAAAACAGTGTTGAAGGAAAATTCTATGAAGTTGCTGGAAGATTTCCACAAGGACTACAAGCATATTGGAGCTGAAGAATTTGACCAAATGGGTGATGAAATAGCAGAAACTCCTGAGTTCAAAGAAGCACTGAGCACTATAGTCGTAAAAAAAGATGAGGGTGAAATATCTCCAAGGTGTTTACCTGTTTTCTTTGTGACAAAATAACCTTGCCACATATTCCATCCAATTATAGAGAAACTGTATGTGAGCTTATGTCGCAATTAAACAATGATGGCATCTTCGACAGATTCTGATATACATTAACTTTTATTTTGTTAAGATCTTGCTTATGCAAACATTATTTCCTAGCAAAGCCGACGTTTCGTTCACGATTTTATTACTAATTATGTAATATTGCATGTCATTCATTCATTGTTAACATTAAAATCTCTGTTATTTTGTGTGTTTTCTCCTATAACGTTTGTTAATACCCGTAATAATGTGTTATCAGATATTTAATATGCTTCTCGTTGTTATATGTATTATGTTATCAAATTTTGTTCAATGTTATAAAATACCCCATCACAACACAGAAATATCATCATATTTTATGTTACAATATAATATTTATGTTTGCAAAACCAGCTTCTACAGACGTTTTTGAATATAGCATGGATTTTTTAGATTTAGAGAGGTAAAAGTGTGTAAAGTGTGTAGTGGGTAAAGTTGTGTAATTAATTTAAAATCGTAGTTAAAACCTAAAAATGTCTGTAGAGGCTAATTTTGCTACTACATTTACCAAAGTGGTGTCAAACAGAACTTTAGAATCTCCTCTTTCAATTGATTCTCACACTGTGATTAAAGGTTGTATTGTTTTTCATTTATAGAGTTTCAGAAGTGTAAAAATAATTTAGAATCACCCTGATTGTAGTTTGTGTTTTACGATCACAGGTAAGTCAGAAGTTACAAATGAAGAGATTAAATCATGAGATGTTAAAAGAGTAAGTTAATTTCAAATTAAACGATTTTTGCTACAGAACAAAATAATCACTTTAGTTACATAGTCAGATTGGCGTTTTAACTCCGCAATAATCTTGATAGACGATAACGGAGATAGAGCAACAGTAGATTAGTCACCACAGAACTCTCCGACTTGCGAAGCCTTTCTGACTGCTTCTAATACCTTGATCCATGACTAGGACATTAAACATTGCGCGTAATACGTAGATTCTTTCAAATAGTAAACATGAGATTGCTTCCTTTTTAAATTTTTTTTTCAATAAAACTGAGTATCAATCTCTGCTTTCTCTGATCATTCCAGCCTTTTGACAATATGTTTTATCGAAGTCTTCATAGAAAAACTACAAAATATTCAAAACAAAAATACACGGTTTTGTGACCCTTGTATAATAAAACCCTTAAAATGTTGTGCAAATTTAATCTCGTTTTAAGCAAAAGTCGTAACACTCTGACCCCAAAGTGTCACGGCACGTTTCATCAATGAATGCAAAACAAAGCCATCTCTACTTTCCTGCTTCACCGGTCTGAGAGCAATAGACAACAATATACTGCCGAGTCTACATGAACAGGACCAACTGACCTGAATATGATCTGAATAATTTATACTGTAAATTTGGTTAGCACATTTAATAAAATGAATATGTAAATGCATATGTGTCATATATTGAACACATACATTTCGTGAATATATTTACTTGCTTGCATGGGTACTCCCACTCCCACTATTAATGGATGGGTGGGGCTTGGATGGGCACTACTGTGTTTTATCACATAGAAATTACTAGTGAATGTATTGTATATTCTGGTGTGTAGGAAAGAAATGTAATATAGAAAAGAGATTTATTAGTTTTAATATTATTTGTGTCAGACTTCAACAAACACCTACCCAAAACTCTAATTCACATTGTTCATGAAAGATTACATAAGGTAGAAGCTTCTTTACAGATTATTATATGATCGTACAGTACATACAGTAGTACATTCAATAATAGATATTTCAAAATTAAACATTGCCAATAAAGTGCATGTTTATTTTTATAGTTTGAGAATATTTTCAACCCGTTTCTCAAAGCTAAAGTCGTAATCAGTAGTTACCCACTTATAGTTTACCCTTGAGCACTTAATTTAGCGGTTAGTTATGGATCATTCCCTTTGGTGGTGCGTTTGTCTATTGTTTTACATATAAAATAAGAAATTGTTGTAAACGTCGAACCATATTAAATATGCAGCCTACAAGGTTATACAATACATACTTCAACTGGTTTACTAGTCATTTATACAATTCATCAAGTATTACATGCATTTTAAAATGCAGTTTTCTACAACAATAAATTAAATAATGCACTTAACAGAGGAATAGTTTGATTGGGTGAAATAGGTATTATTTTTACTGACTTCCGAAGGTAAGAAAATAAATCATTTTCGAGCTCGTCTATCTTCAAAGTTCTTGTGGTTGTCCAATTAAGTAATGAAATGTTCTTTGCTTCTTAAGTAAGTGATTGTTTCTGTGTCAAAACATAGTTTGTCAAAACGATACAATCTAATGGTTTGTGTCTAAGTGTTTTTTTTTTTTTTTTATGTATTATCTTATGAAAAGAGTGCTAACAAATACTTAACGTCCATTTATGGTATTTTCATAATCGTAGCATCTATACTGAGGGCAGGAAGGTTTTTTCTGTTACATTTCTTTTTACAATTTAATGAATTATATAATTATAATTAAAGGCGATGATAATCAACAAAACATAACACGTTTATTATAAAGTTGGCACCATAATTATATTTTAAGATCGCATAAAACGATAGATGTGTTACAGTATTATAATGTTAGAATTTATTTTATTGACAGCAATACTAAATATTTTTTTTATTCAATTCAGTTAAATAATAACCATCGCGTATTTTAATAAACAAATTTTTTATCAAGAAAAAAAGTATAATTATAGCCAGAAACCTGTTTTAAAATACACTACCTCGGGATAGTACAAAAATTATTCCTTTTATTGTTTAAAAGGGTTAGTTAAAACCAAGATATTAATTTTAATTATAATGATGACCTACTACTACAATCTATGTCTTCTAAGAATCTCTAGGACAAACGAGTTTGAAATGTAGGAAAACTTAGGACCGAAAGAATATATGAGTAGATGTAGAAATAACAATTATTAAACCCGCTCAATATATTTAAAACAGTTCCAAACAGGAGTTTTCTTAAGTTGTAATTGCATTTTACAAGAATGGAAAGTTCAAGCATGTAATTGGAGATGTTCGTCTCAAAACTTTGTAGAATACAATTTCAAGTGTGATTGACTTCGTGAATCGCTACTTCATACAATTAAACGTTACATTCTTCGTCAGTAAATTCCTCGTATACAAACTTTGTAACGCTTATATCAAGGAATTAAAACTTAATCGATATACTTTCAAAACCATCTCGATCTGACTGTTCAATAATTAGGAGACAGTCAGGCCACCTTCCTTTCATTTCACCTCAGCACTTAAATGAACTTACATAGATTGTAGTAAAATATATTTTTGTTTTACAGTTTATAAAAAAAAAAAACATTGAATACGATAGGCACAATACAACAAGGCATTGAATAGAACAAGGTTTCTTTTAGTTTTTTTGCGCAACTGTTAACTATTTTACCACAAACAAGGTTTGCTAGTTATTTTAATTCCAAAAAAATTAGAGCATTTATTGCAATCAATACTACACATTATATTACAAGCTCAGTATTAAAAAGTCTCATAAAAATAAGGGCTATTTTATTTTTATATGAAATCTTCCAGATTTCGTACATTGTTTACGGTAGATTCATTCGTCCCACAAGGAGTGGCTCCGTTATAGTAGTTTATCAAGACTCCAGAAGTGTAATGCAAAGATAATGAATGATAAATGATCTCTCAGCTCAAACATAGTTTAATAGTTAAAGTCATTTTTAATATATTAAATACGTTAAGACATTTCTTATTTATAACCCTTTTAGGATTTCTGTGAAATAGAAATTTGAATAATATTGAGCATTTGTTTGAAAATTTACACTTTGGTTTCTTTACATAAATTCAATTTATGTTTTTACCTAATCTTAATCAATAATGTTTTTTAAATCAGCCAAAAATATTGAAAGTGTACAATGTTATGATGACGAGTGCAATAATAAGTGTCTGTTTAGACTTTTGTCAGCACTGTTGAATTGACCACCCATGACAAAGATGAAGATCCATCCACATAACCATCCACCCATGATGAAGATTTGTATTGGTGATTTAAACATATAGACGTTACATAGTACACTTATATTGCTCTGAGAAAGAAAAATGAATTTATTTTAATAGAGAAACTGAAAGGTTGCGTCAGCTTGAGAACTCAAAATTGCTGATATGAAAAATTACAAAAGTTTTCTCCCACGTCACTAGTATTTTGTTCAGTTTTGAATTAGATCACTATCAATCACCATCCAAATATCCAGTGTTTCGTAAGTGTTTTTTTTTCAGTTTTCACTGGTTTGTTTCATAAATTTGCCCTTTACGAATATGTTTAATAGTAAAAAAAATTTACATGCCTAATATCCTCAATTACACGTGCTGCCGCGGCAAGATACTTGACAGTATATTTTACTGGCAACGTTTAATAACAGTTGATTTAGTTTTACATTACTGGACCTACTATGGAAGCTACTAAAACCTATTATTATTGTAGTTTATGAACAATAAATATTGCACAATGTATTAATTGTACATTTTATATTATTTACGTTCCTACATTAAATTGGTCGCAATCCAAAATCCTTTGATTGTTAAGGTTTGAATCCACGTTAATGTCACTTTACAGTTTAGTTTTTTAAAGTCATATATGTTTGTTGTGCTTGTGATATAAATTAGTTATCAGCTGTTTGATATTGTGGACATTTTTACTTGTTTATCTTTGGATGATTTTTATTGATTCTTGTTGTCATGGAGAAAATAATATTTGCTAGTTTTTACTAGAGTTTTATTGTTCTAATGTGTAGTGAATGTTAGTTTGTTAAACAATTAAATATCTTTAATTATTTGTCTTCAATTTGCATGTTCAATTAATTACAAGCTATTTCGGCATTATGTCAGGTACCTCAGCTTGAAAATCTCAGCTCGGGCTTCAGTTGCTATGTTGCACCATTGGACAGTGCCGCGAGAAACGCTTGCAGAGGTTTCCAAGATTAGTGTTTTCGAATTAACCAATAATGATAGCTACTCACTGTAAACGGCTTCCAGTAGTTCAAATACCATTCTATAGTTCTGCGTTTTTCAAATTTACAAATAAAGTTTATTCAATAAGTTATGGCTTGATGAAAAGACCTTTTTTCTTGTCCTACAAATCAAGGTGTGTAATTTAAGGTGTGTATTAAAAATAAATTATTAAAATTAATTATTAAATTAATTGAAAGCTATTTCGGCATATGTCAGGTACGGGTGTTAAGTTCTCAGACTTGATTAAGCAGTATGATGGAAGTGGTGATTTTAGTGAGTGGTTAAAGAAACTAGAATTGGTATGTAAGCTCCAAAGGGTGAAAGACTTGCAGACAGTTCTCCCCCTATTTTTGGCTGGAGGAGAATTTTCTGTACATGACGGGCTTACAGAAAATGTCAAGAGTAACTATGAGGCTCTCACCAATGCATTGCTGCAGGCCTTTTCTGCGAACTGTTTTCAGGCTTATGCAGAATTTACAGCTAGGCGTCTACTCCCCGGTGAGTCACTAGATGTATATGCTTCTGAATTGAAGAGGCTGGCCAAATTGGTGGACCCTTTTGTATCTGAGGAATGGATTAAGAGCGCAGTTGTACATGGCTTGCCAGAAGATACTCAAACCCAGTTGAAAGCTACGTGTTCTCTTCAAAGCATTGAGTTGTCGGATGTAATGACAAGAGCTAGGAATCTATTGGACAGTGAGTCAAACTTTGGGGCGGTTGCACAGGCTAATTCCGAAGTTTTCAAAGTTGGTAAACAGTGGCCTAAAAAATGCTTTGTTTGTGACAGGGAACGCCACGTAGCACGTTCATGTCCCTATCCAAATCGTGAGTCAAAAGTAACCTGTTAACGGTGCGGGGAGGTAGGACATTATGCCTCAAAATGTTCACAAATTCCAAAAAACGAGTGAATGGGGCTGCCTTATGTTGCGCGGGTGGCCCAATTTCTTCAGCGCAACTCAGCGCATTAACATTAAGTGTGTCGGGTTTTAAATTCTGTGCCTTGCTGGACTCAGGTTGTTCAAGGAGCATTGTGTCACCTACTTTAGTGAAATATGGAGTAGAACTGAAGCCAGTCAGTCAAAGGATTATAATGATGAATGGGGAAATGTTGAGTGTAACATGTATGTTACAAGTTTTGATAAGAGGTGTTCCGCTCACACTGAGTTGTTTGGTTGCCAGTGTATTGCCAAGGTATCAGATGCTTCTAGGGATGGATGCAGTGACTGCAATGGGAGGTGTCAATATTGATGGAGATGGCACTGTTACGTTTAGGGACGTTGGTATCGGAGCGATGGCTGAGGCCAAGAAGGAGTTGTGCGTGAAGGAAACCTCGGAGAATGGCAACGATGAGATCGCTATTAATGACTGTGACTTCAATGCGAAATTTGTTGATGGAAAATGGACTGTTGAATGGAATTGGAAAGATAGCGGTAAAGCACGTAAGATAAATAACCAAGTACCTTCATACTCAATTTAAAAAGAGGCAAGGGAGGGGTTTGACGCTGAAGTGCATGATTGGATAAGAGACGGTTGGCTCCGGCCTTATGACGGGGAGTTTGATGGCTTAATTCCTTTAATGGTGGTCTTTCAACATAACAAGGACAAAGTGCGACCTGTAATGGATTACAGGGAATTAAATCAGTATGTATCAAACCATACAGCAGAGAGTGAGGTTTGTGGGGAAAAGCTAAGGATGTGGAGAAAGCTGGGAGAATGTGAGCACTATCGACCTTCGTAAGGCCTATCTCCAAATCCATATTGCTCCTCATTTATGGAAATTCCAAGTGGTCCGATTTAAGGATAAATATTATTGTCTAACGCAACTCGGGTTTGGTCTAAATGTTGCACCAAAAATAATGAGCAAAATTGTTAATAATGTGCTATCAATGGACCCAATAGTCCAAAGTGCTACGGACTCTTATGTTGACGACATAGTGGTGAATGAAAATATTGTTGACGGTGAGGTAGTAAAGGAGTTGTTGGAAAAATATGGGCTGTCAGCGAAACCAGTGGAGCCACTTGATGGAAGTAGGGTTTTGGGGCTTAACATTTCAAAAAGAGCTGGCAAGTTGATGTGGACCAGAGACAACAAGATGAAAGCTTTGGATAAAATTGAGACCAAGAGGGATGTGTACTCCTTGTGTGGGCAGTTAATCGGACATTTCCCGGTGGCTAGTTGGCTTCGACCAGCATGCAATTTTCTTAAGAGGCAATTGACAGATTTGAAATGGGACGATGTGGTGGGCAACCGAATCAAGATAATGTTAGGAGATATAATGGAAAGCGTAAAAGAGAAGGATCCTGTGTTTGGAAAATGGGCAGTGTCATCTAGTGATAAAGGAACTGTGTGGTGTAGCTGTGGGCTAGCAGCTTGGCGATCGGTATTTGCATTGAAATTGACGGTGAAATAGTTGAGGATGCGGGGGACAAAATTGTTGGGACAAAATTGAAAATCGGGATATTGTTGTAATATTGAGCGTTACCGATAATAAAAAACCGATGTTTTACACTTGTCAAAAGATATAGGCCTATTTTTTGCGTTTTATTAGTTACTGAAAGGATAGATAAACTCTCGAAATCTATTTATGTATTTTTTAATCGATGAAAACTTATTAAAAACTTTGATAAAAACCGTCATTTATAAAAAAAAAACTGCTTACCTAATAATGCAATAAATTTGCCATTGAGTTTAAATAAATTAATTTTCCGATGATAAAACAAATAACTCTATCTTATTTTAATTTTAATTTCATTAGCTTACAACAATATAAAATTGAGTCATTACATAATCTTATATTACAACTAGGTAAACATTTCACGGTGTTAGTTTACGTACATCAACGGCGCTTGAGTGATTGTGTTTATATTAGCAAACAGCTTTTCTCTTTCAAAATATTTGTTTTGCAGATTATTCTGAAACAAATTTGATATTTTACTTCTGTCACAAAAAATTAATTAATATGCAATCTTAACAAGCATTATTTTCACGAAAGGAAACGTTGTTGTGAAGTGCTTTTACATTACAGTAATTATATAATTAAATATTTGATAACTAACTAATAACTGACAACTAATAAACTAATAACTAATACTAATACGTCTTGTGAGTAACAATATAAGCGTAAATATATGTTTTAAGTGTTATAAGACGCCTCTTTTATTTACTTTCCGTAAATATTTGATACTAAAAAAATTCAGGGCTAATAAAAATGAAGTATAATATATATTATATTAAGTTGATATTAAGATCCATATTCAAGTAACCTTTAGAATTTAAGTTACTAGCATTAATTGTAGTAGATGTATATGTAAATACAATCAAATAAACATGTACGTTAGTATTCCAAAATTCTTTTTTTCATACCTCAATTTAATTAGATATGCTAATTTCATACAGTCAAAACGTACATGTTAATAAATAATAATGAAAAATATTTTTGGTCAATGGTGCAATAATGTCATATCTATTACAGTCATAAAACTAATGATCGTAGCCAAGCATATGAAGAGGCATTATCATAAGATACAATAAAGATAACCTTTTCCATTTCAAGTAAATATTCATCAAACTTTTACGATCTTACTGAGTATAAATAGTGAAAGTCACTTAAATCAGCACATTAATTCAACAGCTACAGGTAAGATCATGCTAGTGCATAATTATTTTCTTTAGTCCACTTTCTTAAGACTTACCAACAAATTTATTAACAAGTCATTAAAATGCACAAGAGTTGGTGTTAATTTCCTAAAATTATTTATTTATACATTTCCCTAATTATCGTATCATAGGTGACATAGTTTGTTAATTAAATATTAATTAAGTTTTATTTTCATATTTAAAATGTATTGAACATTTTTATATAAATATATGTATACCTCATCAGTAGTACCGTCCTTTCAATTACACAAAAAATATTCCATGCAAAGCACTCGTGCCAATTGTATTTTTATGTAAAAATATATTTAATTGTACTACATTTAATGCAAATACATGAAACTACTTAAAACTTCACAGATTCAACACAGACTCTGGACAGTTCCAGGGTTTTCATTGCAAATGGTTAGTGAATATTGGCTATGCTGAAACTAAACCAACTACTGAAAAGATCAGTTTTATCAGCATTGATAACGATGTTTTATTTTTATTTTTAGGATTTAACACTCACAATGAAGTTTGCAGCTGTAGTAACTATTCTAGTGGTCATCGCCTCCGCATCACACCAACAGCCAACGAAACCTCCTACTAATACTAAGCCAACGAAACCTCCTACTAATACTGAGCCAACGAAACCTCCTACTAATACTGAGCCAACGAAACCTCCTACTAACACTAACACTGCTGTGGTAGGTAGTGGGCTAATGAAAATGAAAATTATGGGATATGATTTTTTTTTTACTTTTAACGAATTGCTTCATAACCTACTCTTAGAGTAGGTGCAATTTTATAAAGAGATGTTTTATATATATAAACTCTGATAGGGATAATGAACTAAGTTTTAAAATAAAAAATCATCATAACAATCTTACAATCGAGATTAAACTATAAGGATCAAAATATAGATTAAAGTGGATCTTAATTCATTTGTTGTTGATTACGACAAAAAAGTAAAATATTTTAAAACCATATTTAATGATATGAATTATCTTACTGTTAATTAACTAAGTGACAACTATTGCAATAAAATTGTTACAGTGGTAAGCACGAGAACAGTTTTATTTCAATTCAAACATAAAGAAGAAACAGTGGTAACAAGCTTGGAAACCGTAGTCGAAAACTATGTTTACTAGTAACAGATTTCAATATTGTTTGGATTGTTGAATTGAACTATGAGAGTATTTTCATAACTATATGGCTAAATAAGATTTACCACTGTGGTCTTTTTGTAATGCTGTTGATTGGTTAATAAAAGGTTGTTCCATATAATATCCGAATTCGTGCAATCAAGTTTTTGTAATTGTTTTCATTTAAAACTATTACAACAATGTATTTTTTCGTAAAAGATAATCAGAAATTTTAATATCCGTTATAACGTAGGAATCTTTGAAATTTATAATTCCTATCTACATTTTGTCATATAACATTCTAATGTCAGTAAGCTTTCGGGATGTGATATGCTTTAAAGATTTTATTATCATTAAAGGGAGACCTTGCGTTTTAACCACGGCAAGCGGATTTGAGTTCTGTCGTTCTATTTTCTTTCTACTTTTTGCACTAGTTTATGATATTATTTACAAAACTAGTGAACAGATTTGTGGCAGATATGTTCTTAAATAGCACTATTGTACCCTAATTTGTTAACAAACGCCTACCTACACTGTTCTATCTGTTTACAGGCTGCCTCCGCATCTCACAAACAGCCAACGAAACCTCCTACTAAGACTCTTACTGCTGAGGTAGGTAGTGGGCTAATGAAAATAAAAATTCTAGGATAAAAAAGGGGCTTGCCATTTAAGTTTTTTTCAAGGTATTATTTAACTATGATTTTTTTTTACTTTTAACGAATTGCTTCATAACCTACTCTTAGAGTAGGTAAAATTGTATAAATAGATGTTTTATATAAATAAACTCTGATAGGGATAATGAACTAAGTTTTAAAATAAAAAATCATCATAACAATCTTACAATCGAGATAAAACTATAAGGATCGAAATATAGAGTAAAGTGGATCTTAATAATTCTGTTTTTGTTGAGCACGACAAATAAAACTAAAATATTTTAAAACTATATTTAACGATATGAATCATCTTACTGTTAAGGAACTAAGTGACAACTATTGCAATAAAACTGTTACAGTGGTAAGCACGAGAACAGTTTTATTTCAATTCAAACATAAAGAAGAAACAGTGGTAACAAGCTTGGAAACAGTAGTCGAAAACTTTGTTTACTAGTAACAGATTTCAATATTGTTGGATTGTTGGATTGAACTATGAGAGTATTTTCATAACTATATGGCTAAATAAGATTTACCAATGTGGTCTTTTTTTTAATGCTGTGGATTGGTTAATAAAATGTTTTTTCATATAATATCCGAATTCGTGCAATCAAGTTTTTGTAATTTTTTGTATTTAAAACTATTACAACAATGTATCTTTTCGTAAAAGATAATCAGAAATTTTAAATATCCGTTATTACGTAGGAATCTTTGACATTTATAATTCCTATTTACATTTTGTCATATAACATTCTAATGTCAGTAAGCTTTCGGGATGTGATATGCTTTAAAGATTTTTTTATCATTAAAGGGAGACCTTGCGTTTTAACCACGGCTAGCGGATTTGAGTTCTGTAGTTCTATTTTCTTTTTACTTTTTGCACTAGTTTATGATATCATTTACAAAACTAGTGAACAGATATGTGGCAGTATGTTCTTAAAACACGTTCGCGGAGGCACGTCAAATGGCGGGCGTATCCCCAGTGCGGCGCAGCCCGCAGCGTCAAACAAACCCGATTGACGCGTGTGACTGGCTTTCCAATTTTGGTCGGACGAATAGCAAATAACGTGCGAGGATGTCCTGCTTTAAGACGAGAGTCGACGTAGTTCGCTAAACACTCACAGATAGCAGCACTGCTTGGAACATAGCCGGTCCTATTGGAATTGTATTGCCAAATGGAGGGAAAAAGGCGGGACAAAAAGTAGATTTTTGAGATTGCCAGGGGGGGGTTTTCGGGGAAATTTACTACCAACCTACACCACAACAAAATACAGTATACTATTGAGCAGTGCTGTGCGAGGTTTCAAGTTTCTAGCTCTAATCCTACTTAAAAATAAAGCACCCACCAAGATGACATTAGGGTTCCGTGTGGGAGCGATCGCTCCCATGCCGCCGCGAACGTGTTAAATAGCGCTATTGTACCCTAATTTGTTAACAAACGCCTACCTACACTGTTCTATCTGTTTACAGGCTGCCTCCGCATCTCACAAACAGCCAACGAAACCTCCTACTAAGACTCACACTGCTGAGGTAGGTAGTGGGCTAAGAAATTTTAATATCCGTTATTACGTAGGAATCTTTGACATTTATAATTCCTATCTACATTTTGTCATATAACATTCTAATGTCAGTAAGCTTTCGGGATGTGATATACTTTAAAGATTTTGTTATCATTAAAGGGAGACCTTGCGTTTTAACCACGGCTAGCGGATTTAAGTTCTGTAGTTCTATTGTCTTTTTACTTTTTGCACTAGTTTATGATTTTATTTACAAAACTAGTGAACAGATATGTGGCAGATATGTTCTTAAATAGCACTATTGTACCGTAATTTGTTAACAAACGCCTACCTACACTGTTCTATCTGTTTACAGGCTGCCTCCGCATCTCACAAACAGCCAACGAAACCTCCTACTAAGACTCACACTGCTGAGGTAGGTAGTGGGCTAATGAAAATAAAAATTCTGGGATAAAAAAGGGGCTTGCCATTTAAGTTTTTTTCAAGGTATTATTTATCAATGAATTTTTTTTACTTTTAACGAATTGCTTCATAACCTACTCTTAGAGTAGGTAAAATGTTATAAATAGATGTTTTATATAAATAAACTCTGATAGGGATAATGAACCAAGTTTTAAAATAAAAAATCATCATAACAATCTTACGATCGAGATTAAACTATAAAGATCGAAATATAGATTAAAGTGGATCTTAATAATTCTGTTGTTGTTGAGTACGACAAATAAATCTAAAATATTTTAAAACTATATTTAACGATATGAATTATCTTACTGTTAAGGAACTAAGTGACAACTATTGCAATAAAATTGTTACAGTGGTAAGCACGAGAACAGTTTTATTTCAATTCAAACATAAAGAAGAAACAGTGGTAACAAGCTTGGAAACAGTAGTTGAAAACTATGTTAACTAGTAACAGATTTCAATATTGTTTGGATTGTTGGATTGAACTATGAGAGTATTTTCATAATCATATGGCTAAATAAGATTTACCACTGTAGTCTTTTTGTAATGCTGTTGATTGTTTAATAAAAGGTTTTGTCATATAATATCCGAATTCGTGCATTCAAGTGTTTGTACTTGTTTTTATTTAAAACTATTACAACAATGTATTTTTTCGTAAAAGATATTTAGAAATTGTAATATCCGTTATTACGTAGGAATCTTTGAAATTTATAATTCCTATCTACATTTTGTCATATAACATTCTAAAGTCAGAAAGCTTTCGGGATGTGACATGCTTTAAAGATTTTGTTATTATTAAAGGGAGACCTTGCGTTTTAACCACGGCTAGCGGATTTGAGTTCTGTAGTTCTATTTTCTTTTTACTTTTTGCACTAGTTTATGATATTATTTACAAAACTAGTAAACAGATATGTGGTGAATATGTTCTTAAATAGCACTATTGTACCCTAATTTGTTAAAAAAAACGCCTACCTACACTGTTCTATCTGTTTACAGGCTGCCTCCGCATCTCACCAACAGCCAACGAAACCTCCTACTAATACTAAGCCAACGAAACCTCCTACTAATACTAACACTGCTGCGGTAGGTAGTGGGTTAATGAAAATAAAAATTCTGGGATAAAAAAGGGGCTTGCCATTTAAGTTTTTTTCAAGGTATCATTTAACTATGAATTATTTTTTACTTTTAACGAATTGCTTCATAACCTACTCTTTAAGTAGGTAAAACTTTATAAAGAAATGTTTTATATAAATAAACTCTGATAGGGATAATGAACTTAGTTTTAAAATAAAAATCATCATAACAATCTTACAATCGAGATTAAACTATAAGGATCGAAATATAGATTAAAGTGGATCTTAATTCTGTTGTTGTTGAGTACGACAAATAAAACTAAAATATTGTAAAACCATATTTAATGATATGAATTATCTTACTGTTAAGGAACTAAGTGACAACTAATGCAATAAAATTGATACAGTGGTAAGCACGAGAACAGTTTTATTTCAATTCAAACATAAAGAAGAAACAGTGGTAACAAGCTTGGAAACAGTAGTCGAAAACTATGTTTACTAGTAACAGATTTTAATATTGTTTGGATTGTTGGATTGAACTATGAGAGTATTTTCATAACTATATGGCTAAATAAGTTTTACCACAGTGGTCTTTTTGTAATGCTGTTGATTGGTTAATAAAAGGTTTTTTCATATAATATCCGAATTTTTGCAATCAAGTTTTTGTAATTGTTTATTTTAAAACTATTACAACAATGTATTTTTTCGTAAAAGATAATCAGAAATTTTAATATCCATTATTACGTAGGAATCTTTGAAATTTATAATTCCTATCTACATTTTGTCATACAACATTCTAAAGTCAGTAAGCTTTCGGGATGTGATATGCTTTAAAGATTTTGTTATCATTAAAGGGAGACCTTGCGTTTTAACCATGGCTAACGGATTTGAGTTCTGTAGTTCTATTTTCTTTTTACTTTTTGCACTAGTTTATGATATTATTTACAAAACTAGTGAACAGATATGTTCTTAAATAACACTATTGTACCCTAATTTGTTAACAAACGCCTACCTACACTGTTCTATCTGTTTACAGGCTGCCTCCGCATCTCACCAACAGCCAACGAAACCTCCTACGAATACTAAGCCAACGAAACCTCCTACTAATACTAAGCCAACGAAACCTCCTACTAATACTAAGGCAACGAAACCTCCTACTAATACTAAGCCAACGAAACCTCATACTAACACTAACACTGCTGCGGTAGGTAGTGGGCTAATGAAAATAAAAATTCTGGGATAAAAAAGGGGCTTGCCATTTAAGTTTTTTTCAAGGTATTATTTAACTATGAATTTTTTTTACTTTTAACGAATTGTTTCATAACCTACTCTTAGAGTAGGTAAAATTTTATAAATAGATGTTATATATAAATAAACTCTGATAGGGATAATGAACTAAGTTTTAAAATAAAAAATCATCATAACAATCTTACAATCAAGATTAAACTATAAGGATCAAAATATAGATTAAAGTGGATCTTAATTCTGTTGTTGTTGAGTACGACAAATAAAACTAAAATATTTTAAAACCATATTTAACTATATGAATTATCTTACTGTTAAGGAACTAAGTGATAACTATTGCAATAAAATTGTTACAGTGGTAAGCACGAGAACAGTTTTATTTCAATTCAAACATAATGAAGAAACAGTGGTAACAAGCTTGGAAACAGTAGTCGAAAACTATGTTTACTAGTAACAGATTTCAATATTGTTTGGATTGTTGGATTGAACTATGAGAGTATTTTCATAACAATATAGCTAAATAAGATTTACCACTGTAGTCTTTTTGTAATGCTGTTGATTGGTTAATAAAAGGTTTTGTCATATAATATCCGAATTCGTGCAATCAAGTTTTTGTAATTGTTTTTATTTTATAAACAACAATGTATTTTTTCGTAAAAGATAATCAGAAATTTTAATATCCGTTATTACGTAGGAATCTTTGAAATTTATAATTCTTATCTACATTCTTTCATATAACATTCTAAAGTCAGTAAGCTTTCGGGATGTGATATGCTTTTAAAGATTTTGTTATCATTAAAGGGAGACCTTGCGTTTTAACCACGGCTAGCGGATTTGAGTTCTGTAGTTCTATTTTCTTTTTACTTTTTGCACTAGTTTATGATATTATTTACAAAACTAGTGAACAGATTTGTTCTTAAATAGCACTATTGTACCCTAATTTGTTAACAAACGCCTACCTACACTGTTCTATCTGTTTACAGGCTGCCTCCGCATCTCACCAACAGCCAACGAAACCTCCTACTAAGACTAACACCTTACCTGAGTGATTTAGCACAATATTTTAAATCATATTGTACTATGTATGCAATATGATTGATGTTAAATAAACTTTTTCTCGTAGAATTTTTTAGTTTTTTATGTTTTATAAGACCTTTCATTATTGTGTTTTATGCGGTTGAAAGGTTCGTTTTTCACGTTAACGTTAAGTATTAAATAGTTGCTTAGGCCATTAGAAGATAAGAATATGGTGTTTTGAATGCACTAAAAAAAATCTGTTACCCACCCAACATTGGTTATATAGGAAACTTTAAATCTCATTTACTGAAAGATCTCTATAGTAAGAGTTGAGTATTCCCAATAAGTTGTATGGCCGAAACGTATAACATTATTGCATTGTAATTATGGAAAATCCATTAAATAACCTAAAGGTTAACTAATGAAAGAACGTAACAGTTAAAACCCCCACCACAGCAAACCTGCAGACTAAGCGAATTTCTACTTGACTGATTACATTTTTACTAAAATATTTCTATAAATAATACATCCAATATTTATTCCCAATTTAAATAACATTAGATTTAACGAGTGCTTAGGTTTGCTGCTACGGGGAAGGTAAAAAGCGTTTTTTGACTATACGTCAATACTATAGGATGAAATAAATATATTTGCCAAATTTTATCAATATATATCCATAAACAATTAAACTACAACAGTTTTCATTTTCTCTATAAGAATAACATAGGAATTTTAAATAACACTATTTTTGAATTTTCTCCATGACAGTTAGGTATACAACAGCGCTTCAATATACTAAATTATTTCTTTTTTAAGCTTTACAAAACGGTTTGAAAAGAAATTGAATTTCTTTATGCTTTTAGGGTCAAAAATGGGAAAACCCCATTTTTACCCCCCATAACCCCTCGTTCCCATGGTCCGATTATGCTGGTTCGCGAAAATCCTGCTCGTTCAAATAACTCGTTCAAATAAACGTAGTACCAAATTACACGTTTGTACCAAATTTCATCGAAATCAGAACTTGTATGCTCAAGTTATCGCGCTAACGGACACGCATACATATATAAATAAATATATATATATATATATATGTATATATATATGTATGTATGTATATATATATATGATACACAGTTTTGATAAAAGAATTGCTATACTCGTAAACTGTTTGGGTTGTTTCTTTCAAAAGACTTATTATAGACATTTTTATTGTTTTATTGTTATAGACATTGATATTGTTGGGTATCATTTTTATTTTATGTTCTTTAATTATTTTATATTATTTTATTACTTTATTATTCCCTATCATAAACCACCTACATAAAGGCTAATATTAACGAACTTTATACTAAATATTGCATTAAATTCCCCCATATATTTAAACACATATACTTTCCAATATTAAAACCCTTATTTTGATTTCAACCACAAAAAAATATTAAAAAACAATTTTATATCATCTAGTAAAAATATTACAAAAAAACCGACACTATTGTATTTGTGTCCGATTGCAAAAAGAGTAATTTAAATTTCTGTCTATATTACCTGTAAAATTTTATTGAAGGGGTGAGTGGATGAAGGGGGTAAATAACAGTTTTACAGAACCGGGGGGGGGGGGGCAGAGAAGTAAATTTTTTTTGCACAATAACTTTTGAGATAAATTGACCTAAAGTTTGCAGGTTATAACTTTTAAATTTTTTAATTTATTTTCATTCTTAAAACGTTATTAGGAAGGGCAGAGAAGTAAATTTTTTTTGCACAATACTTAATAAAAATTGAAATGTTCCTTACTATTAAAATTTTAACTTTTCTATTACTTACCTCCTTTATCCACTTAAAAAAAATTGTTTCGCAGTGGAAGAAGGGGTTAAGTGATGTAAACGATTGAAATAAATTATTTTTGGTAAAAAAATACTTTATTTCAACATGTTACCATAAAAAGTACATTTAAATAAGGTTGTTGCACCAAAATAAACTTAAATATTAAAAGTAAACTTACTTTAAGTCCTTATCATAGACTTTATGTGCTGATTTGTAATTTTGTCCAAAAAATAATAACTAAAAGACATACCAAAAGAACATACAAAAGACATACAAAAGAAATACCACAATATTAAAAATACTAAATATTTTTTAAATGTTCAAGTAATAACTGTCTTTTATTAGATGCTTATCAGTCTTATCTCTGCAATTTCTCTAAGAAATATTTCTTTTTCATGTACAATCTTTTACTTCTTGGAAGCAGTTACCTATAAAGAATAGCTAACAACTCATTGTACTAAGTGGGTCCATTACGGTCTGATACATTTTTTAAACACACTAAAATGCAAATTGGAAATGTTCAAGGTAATTTTTATTGTCAGCTGATTTGGATAAGATGTTAGCTTCAGTACGTACGCTACTATTACCTACCAATAAGGGGGTAAGTGCAGGGGACAAGTGTGCAAAGAGTTATGGATGAAGGGGGTAGGGGATAGGTGAAACTTTACATGGATGAAGGAGACAGTGAAGCACAGAGAGTATGGATGAAGGGTGTAAGTGAAACTTTACGTGGATGAAAGGGGCAAGTGAAGCACACAGAGAGTATGGATGAAGGGTGTAAGTGAAACTTTACGTGGATGAAGGAGGCAAGTGAAGCACATAGAGTATGGATGAAGGGTGTAAGTGAAACTTTACGTGGATGAAGGAGGCAAGTGAAGCACAGAGAGTATGGATGAAGGGTGTAAGTGAAACTTTACATGGATGAAGGAGGCAAGTGAAGCACAGAGAGTATGGATGAAGGGTGTAAGTGAAACTTTACATGGATGAAGGAGGCAAGTGAAGCACAGAGAGTATGGATGAAGGGTGTAAGTGAAACTTTACATGGATGAAGGGGGCAAGTGAAGCACAGAGAGTATGGATGAAGGGTGTAAGTGAAACTTTACATGGATGAAGGAGGCAAGTGAAGCACAGAGAGTATGGATGAAGGGTGTAAGTGAAACTTTACGTGGATGAAGGAGGCAAGTGAAGCACAGAGAGTATGGATGAAGGGTGTAAGTGAAACTTTACATGGATGAAGGAGGCAAGTGAAGCACAGAGAGTATGGATGAAGGGTGTAAGTGAAACTTTACGTGGATGAAAGGGGCAAGTGAAGCACACAGAGAGTATGGGTGAAGGGTGTAAGTGAAACTTAAAGTGGATGAAGGGGACAAGTGAGGCACTTACCACATTTATACACTCCATTTGGGTGCATATCCTGTACTTAACCCCTAAGTTAAAAAAATAACTCAGCTGTTATTATACTTAGGACTATGGGAGTCAGTGTACTAAATAGAGCATCACTTACACCCTTCGTCCATGCATCTAACTCAATTTTTACAAAATTGTTACTTGCCCGCTTCATCCACTCACCCCTTCAATTTATGCGTGATTGTGTCTTGTTTTTTTTTTTCTTATAAAAATCATAATTTCACATTTCGGTTTATAAAAAATCAATTACGTAACTTAAAAGAAAAACGTAACAATGTTAATTTACGTACATGAACGGCGCTTGAGTGATTGTATTTACTTGGGCAAACAGCTTCTCTTCAAAAATGTCTTTATTGCGAAAAAGATTTTTTTGGGGAAAATGTGACTGTGGTTTTTTTGTTCGGTTGAAATTTAAAAATTAATACAACATTTTTTAAATATGTTTACGCAAGGAAAAGGTTGGTGGTATATAGCCTACTTTGATATCAAAGGAAATACAAGATAAACCATGTTTTAAAATTGTAGTATGATACTATTTCCTTTAAGTTGCTATTTAGATTTTTATTTAAGTAAATACAGCATTATGTGTTTTTGATGAAGAGTCAGCAATATATACCTTATGTTATTAAGTGTATACGTATGCATATACGTGTATACATGTACTTCCGTATTTCAACATTTTTACATCCCTCAATAGAAATTGCATTCATATGTTTATACTATGAATGTCAATTATTTATAAACAAAAGTTACAATATTTTTTGTACCATACCATAATCAAATATTTTTTGAGTGTTGACAGGGGAAAATCCTGCCAAAGAATCCCACCTCCTCACTTCCTACGACAACTGCCTACTTTGTCGCAATTGTTTGGCGTCTCTACGATCAGGGCAGATTGTAGATTTAAAACTTAGATACATTTTCTAAAAAAAAATATTTTGTACTTAGCCGGTGGAGTGTAAATATTAATATTCAAACAATTCCTTTTTCTTAATTTTAAATTGTATTTTTGATCAATGTTATTTGCAGATCACGCCTACATTTATTTATTTAATTATTTCACAACAGTCAATAATATATACGAAAATATGAGTTAACATTTTTATATAAGCATGACAATATATTTTTTGTTAAAGTGCTTATATAATCTTATTTATCTTTGTTACAGTCATAAAACCAATCAATAAAATTTTGCAAACAATGGGACATTGTCTTAACTTACCATAGAACGAAATTTAATCTTTCTTTGTTTCAAAATTAAATTAAACTCCATCTAACATTTACGACTTTATGACTAGTGAAAGGCACTAAACTCGACCCATTACTTCAACATACTTAAAGAGGAATCAGTTCAAGTAAGATTAATCGATTACTTAATTATTTATCTTGGGAAAACCGTCATACAACTTACAAAATTTATTATCCACATAAGTCATTAAAATGCTAAATACCTTTGTGTAAATTTCCTAAAAATATTTACTTAAATCTTGTTCGTAAATTTACGTTAGATAGCTGACACAATTCGTAAATTAAATATATATATATATATATATATATACACTAGCTGTACCCGCGGGCTTTGCCCCGTTTAACTTCATAAGTGAGCTCGTTCGCATGGCTCAATCAAGTCCTGGTTGAAGTTCGTTCGCTACGCTCACTCACTTTTAGGTTGGAGCTCGTTCGCTGCGCTCACTTGCCTTCAGGTTACCTCGTTCGCTACGTGAACTCGCCTCCAGGTTGAAGTTCGTTCGCTACGCTCACTCACCTTTTGGTTGCAAATTAGTTGTTGTCATAAATGTAAAAGAAATAATAGTGCTGCACCCTGTTGGTAATCCTTGTAACTTAAATGCTATTGAACATCATTAAACAGAACCAACTTGTTTAATTGAAACAGCTGTTAAGATTAATTAATTCCATTTAAATATGAGTACTAATAAGGTTAACATGGGAAACTCCAGAGCCACTGGGGCGGAGCCCGAGAGTCCGATCAGAATAAAAACAGCTTAGTTTTCCTATTTAATGCCTAAAGAATCAGTGTACCAAATTTCAGCCTCCTAGGTAAATGGGAAGTAAGAGAATTAGTGATGAGTGAGTGAGTCAGTCAGTCAGTGAGGGCTTTGCCTTTTATATATATAGATACTAGCTGTAACCCACGGGCTTTGCCCCGTTTCACTTCTTAATTTTCAAGATGATCTCGTTCGCATGGCTCAATCATGTCCTGGTTGAAGTTCGTTCGCTACGCTCACTCACCTTTAGGTTGGAGCTCGTTCGCTACGCTCACTCATCTTTAGGTTGGAGCTCGTTCGCTGCGCTCACTTGCCTTCAGGTTAGCTCGTTCGCTACGCTCACTCGCCTTGAGGTTGAAGTTCGTTCGCTACGCTCACTCACCTTTTGGTTACAAATTAGCTGTTGTCATAAATGTAAAAGAAATAATGGTGCTGCACCCTGTTGGTAATTCTTGTAACTTTAATGCTATTGAACATCATAGAACAGAACCAACTTGTTTAATTGAAACAGCTGTTAAGATTCATTAATTCCATTTAAATATAAGTACTCATAAGATTAACATGGGAAATTCCAGAGCCACTGGGGCGGAGCCCGAGAGTCCGATCAGAATAAAAACCACTTAGTTTTCCTATTTAATGCCTAAAGAATCAGTGTACCAAATTTCAGCCTCCTAGGTAAATGGGAAGTGGGAGAATTAGTGATGAGTGAGTGAGTGAGTGAGTCAGTCAGTCAGTGAGGGCTTTGCCTTTCATATATATAGATAATTGATTTGTATTTTGAAATAGTGTATTTTAAATGTGTGCGTATATAAATATATAAATGCCAAATCTGCAGTATATCCCTTTTAATTACAACTGGTAAATAGTTTATGCAAGCACTTGAGCAAGTTATATAACAATGTAAGATATGTTAAATTGTGTAAAATGTAATACGAATACATACAAGAGAAATTGGAATCTCAATATTGGTTACACTATACCAAACAGTTAATATTTTTGAAGTTATTTGTATTGTACGGATTTACGCTTTTCCCATCACACTCCTTAGCTTATACAAGAAAAAAAAAATAAATAAAGTTTTTAACACCAACTCTTACGTATCGGTATTACAATTCCAAATTTCAGAGGATATTAAAACATATTTATACAGAAACTAAGCTTATTACTGTACATTGAGTTGTAGCCGCTAAAATTACAATGTTTTATTTTTATTTTTAGGATTTTTTGATCGCAATGAAGTTTGCAGCTGTAGTAACTATTCTAGTGGTAATTGCCTCTACATCTCAACAAAAGCCAACGAAACCTCCTACTGCTGCGGTAGGTATTGTAATATCGGAAATATGGGATATGAAAGGGATTTTGTTACTGGTAATTAGAGGTTTTAGCAGATAAAATATTAATTTAAACAATAATCCAAACAAGTAAGTAAAATAAAATATATTTACAGTTTTGAGACGTGTTTACTTTTACCGACGAAATATAGGCGGTAGTTAAATTAAGTACTATATATTCCTGGTGATGGTATTCACTCCACTGCCATGATACATTTATATTTATAATAAAATATTGTTAATTGTCGTGACTTTAGTTAACTTTGAGATTTCAAAATTTTCAACGAATTGCTTCAGAATCTACACTTCAGATATAATTACATAAACACACGTTTAATATAAATAAACTCTGATAGGTATAATGAACTTAATTTTAAAATTTAAAACTCAATAAACAATCTTATATTAAAAACTAATAATTTAATGAACTCATAATGAACTAATATGAACAGTATTTCAATTTTTAAAATAATTATCTCAAATGATTTTAGATTAAATGAGCCTACGCTAAGTTAATTCACATTTTTGTCAAAAATGTTAAAGATGTTGAGAATCGAAACAAATAATATTGAAACAAAATTGTCGCAGTTAAAAAGACATAGAAAATAGTTTTAGTTTAAATTTTAAAAAAATTAGAAACGGTACTAACTAAAAATAAAATACCCCCGCCGCAGCAAACCTGCAGACTAAGCAAATTTCGATTTGCTTGATTGGATTTACACAAAAATGTCTCCTTAAAAATATCACATTTATTCCCTATTTAAATAACATTAATTTAACGAGTACTCAGGTTTGCTGCAACAGGGAGGGTAAAAATGTCTTTTTTTTTGTAAAATGTTAATAGTTTAGAATGAAATGAATGCATTTTCCAAATTTGATCAAAATATGTTCATAAACAAGCAAACTACAACAGTTTATTTATTCTCCATAAGAATAACATGGGAATTTTAAATTTACAGTTTTATGGAATTTTCTCCGTAACCATTAGGCGCATAATAACGCTTCAGTATACTAAATTATTTGTTTTTTTAAGGTCTACAAAATAGTTTGGTAAGAAAATGTTAAATTTTAAGTTTTTAGGGTTAAAAATGGGAAAAACCAATTTTTACCCCATAAAACCCCCCATAATCACCTGTTCCCATAGTCAGATCATGCTGGTTCGCGAACTCGTTTGAATAAACGTAGGTTTACACGTTTGTACCGAATTTCATCAAAATCGGATCAGTTTTGCTCGAGTTATCGCGCTAACGGACACACACACATATATATATATATATATATATATATATATATATATATATATATATATATATATATATATATACGAATTTGAACGGATGGTGTTTTTGGCCTCTAGGGACCTCAAAACGAGAAAGTAAATCGGTCCCGGGTCCAGGTCTTACCATGAGTACTACGGTAATATCTTATTCCCTACATGGGAAATTCGCTAATAACGGTAAAAGTAAAATTTGTTTATTTTGAACTTTGAATGGATTGTTGTGGATTTCGTTTGAGGATGTATTAATAATCTTTTTTTTAACCATAGGGTGGATACCATTTGGAACTGTAGACCTATTTCGAGAATGCAGCTGGTTGTTTCTTTTGTTTTGTTACGTTATTTTTAAGTACTTACAATCTTACTATTTTAATCTCTGATTTATTCGTACAGTCAGGAAAATACGTTGTAAACGTTAAGGTGCTCTAAAAAATTCTGTAACGTTTACCAGCATTGTTGTACTACATACGTTGTTATATCTGTTTACAGGCTGTCCAAAGCGAATTTAGAACAAAGGTGCTAAAAAGTATAGTTGAGATGCTAGATGATTTAAATAAGAAAGGAGAAAAATTCACATTGAGGGAGGTAGAGAGGAAAGTTCACGAAGTAGGCACACAGGCTTTACAGAACTATACCAACAAAGATATTTCATTGGAAGAATTAAGAAGTTTTAGTCAAGAGATAGCAGAGTCTCCTGAATACAAAGCTAGGGTGAAAACGCTCTTGAAACCTGGTGAAACTGACGATATTGCTTCTAGATGTCCTCCTCTTATGTTTTTTTCTTAATGCGTGCAGAGGATATGTTATATCATTTTGTACCATTTATGCAATATAATTTATGTTAAATAAACTTTTTTTAGCAGCATTTATGGGTTTTTAGAGAAATCCCTCATCAAAACCTACATTCAAGAATGCGGCTTACGGTTTTCTTAAAAGTTTGCATTCCTTATACAATATTTACTAAATTACATTAAATAATAAACCGGGTGTCTCGGAACTCTCTACTAATATTTTTGGGCATTGTTCCTGAGTAAGAAACATATCTAAATAGCATATTTAAATTGCCCGGAAGTCCTTAGTTACTCACACAGCCTTCATTTTTTTTACCTAAAAAGTTGCAATGCATGCAACCGTAAAGCTGCCATATCTCAGTTAATATTCGTCATATCTAAAAAAATAAGTAATCAATTGATTTGTAATAACATTTCCTTAAAAAGATTATTCCTGTAAAATGTCATAATTTTGTGTATCATTGTCTAATTGTCAACTGTTTGTGCAGAGTTTCAATTTCGTATTTTTAACCATTTTATTTTTATTTTTATAATAAGTGCAAAACAAAATGGTGGCTGTGTGAGTAATTAAGGACTTACAGACAATGTTAATATATTATTTAGACGTGTTTCTTACTCAGGAGCAATGCCCTACAATATCAGTGGAGTGTTCGGGGACACCCTCTATATTAGTTGCTCAGCCCGTGCTTTGTTACGATGTAAGAACCCATAAGAGAATTTGGATTTTTTGTCGTTTCTACATGGTGTTTTAATTTTTATTTTTTTTTTTTACATAACATTTACACATACACCATTGATTGTGAACGAAAATCTCAATCATACTTATTGTTAATGTTAATTAAGGTATAGTTTTTATGTATGTAAAATCTGCAGAATCAAACGTATCACATTATCTTATTGTTAACATAGAAAACGTATAAAAGATCATAAAAGGTTAACTCATAAAAATATTAAGAAATCATAAATCAAAACAAAAAAGCTGACATACATTTAATACTTTATATCACGTGATTGAATATGACCCTATAATTAAGCTTCGTGCTCTTGGGGGGGGGGGGGGAAGTTTTCTTAAATAAAATGGTACTTCCAGAAAAGTTGCACATAAAGACCTTTCATTTAAGTAGGTATGCTGCGTTAAGGTAGGGCTTGCAGGTTACTCAAAATGCCACGTTCCATACTAGCTTTATATATTCAGGAAAAAAAATAGTTCCACATTTCATTCGTAAAGTGTTATTTCACTTTTCCGAGGTGGTTTGGTTCTTCTACTAGAATAATTTAAAGAGTGTTGGTCTTAAATCAAAGGTATTCACGCACAGACTTTCCATCAAGCATCGGCATTCAATTATCACACATAAAATTACGAGTTATCCAAAAAAGATTCTTCCTCCCTGTACTGTTGTGGAATATTAATTTTGTTTTTATTTACGAGTTTGTTTGGCTCTTCTGCCAGACCAATGTTCATAATTTTGATCTTACATTAAAGGTATGCACGCACAGATCTCCATCACTCATTATTATTTATTTATGTTTTATGCTTTAAAAGATAAATTAATGAATATATACTACTAAACGCTTTTAGCTGAAATAGAGACCGTGCGAAGGTATGAATGGAGATGAGTGTAGGATGAATGGCGCGACCTTTAGTCTTGTTAGCAACATGTTCCTTTGACAAAACAGTTAAAAAATAACCCATACAGCTAAGCTAACAGTTTATAATGGAATTTGAATGAAATTGTTGCTTTGTAAATTACGAATTGGTCTATCAGGATAGTACTGCCTATAGTCGTAATACTATCGCATATTGAAGTATCGCATCAACAGATTATGCCAATAAATGTCCAAAATGCGTGTCCTCCAAGTAGCTGGATTATAATACGACGCCATGATCCAAATTCTCACTTCCACTAAATATGGTTTTTACCAGTTCTGATTACATTACCGTATATGTTTTGGTCTAAGAACTTCCAGTAAAATACCGGTTTTCTTTTGAGTTATTGATTATTAAGATTGGGCGTACCTTAAGCACGCTGCTGAACAAAACAACCAAAAATTGTTTAAAAAATGGAGACATTTATCAACGATTTATAGTTAAATATTGCTTGAAACCTCAACAATAACTGTCAATTTTGACGGGTTTTACTAGTGTTAACTTAAAATGTTGATTTAAGGTATTCAATCGAATGGTTTATAGATAAGGTAAATTATATACACAAAAACTTTGTTTTATTTTAATTTTATATATTTTTTTGCTTACTTAGATTTTACTTTTTTCATGACGACCAGTTTACTTCGTCTCTGAAAACTGAATGATTTAACTGCCAATTGGACGTCCAGAATAAAACCAAATGCATTGGACGAAAGCTCACCACCATCCCTCCAATACATCAAACGATATTATCTGCAAGGACTACTTCCTACATTAGAGGCACAAGTCTCATGCCTTCGGACAGTGGTTAAGACGTTTTGCTACTCCTTTCAGGAAGCTGCAAAAATGCCAAATACTCTTCTCGATGCTGCCGGGAACTAGATGCCAACATAATTGACACGAATTTTTGCCATCATTTGCTTAGTACTCGTTTGCTACGATGCCGTAATTGTAAGAGCTATAGCTGTAGTTACCAGAAGTAATTTTTGTCAGCACCGTAAAACAACAAAGCTTTTCTTTTGTCTTAGCCATTTGTTATCTAGGAACAAACCACAACACACGTCTACAACATCCAAGAGGAATTGTCAACGGAACAGCTTATAGGTATATAGGTGAGGAGTAGAAAGTCATTGCATATGAGGTAGTCCATTCAAAATACCTCAGTTTCGAAATAAAATTATATTTCATACTTCATTAGAGGTCCTGAAAGATGTGGAAATCCCTTCAGTGTGTAATCTTCAGTATTTTGTACAATATGTATTTGCGCGCACATAGCGCTAGGCCATATTTTTACGCGGAAAGGGCTAACTCTTTTTGCCAGTTTCGTGGACAAAAATCAATTCACAGCAACAACCTTTGCTTTACAGACAACTACAATGTCTCAGACATTTAGAAACCTTAGACACTAACGTCTCATGAATGCACACTTACAGCTTATCTATCGCAGCTAGAAAAAAACCTTTCTATTGTGACTAAAACATCCTCATATCCAACGTAATGCTTTCAGTGACACATTAATCAATTAACTCAATAAAAACAAATGTTATTTAAGAGCCATATTGTGCCAAAACATTTACTACTGTACAACAAAGAATGGTTAAGTTGTGTCACATTTGTAACCAACCGGAAACGAGTATGTAAGTTCTGGTTCGGTTCTTTACCGAGGGACAAAAAAGGCTCTGTTGTATCCATTTGAATCTTTGAACTTAAGTCCTTCAGGTTCGTCACCTTATTATAAAACCCATGCTAAAAAGAAGTTATCCATGCTAAACATGGATAATCATGTTCATCAGAAATCTAACCGCTCAGCAGGGCTTAAGATTGGTTTTAGCTCACATACCGAAAGAGATTAGATTTAAATAAAAAAAAGCTATATATTCTGATAAATATGATGATATGGTGTACTCAGGCATCGTGAATATTACAATTTAAACTATTCCTAATAGGTGAATTTACTTTTATTTTTGAAGGGAGAAAAATCCAGAGGATTGTACTTCTTTTTTTCACATAACAGGCGATAAAGAGTCGCGTTATGGGTTTCTTCACTAAACCGTTAACTTAGGTTTTACACGTGCACAATTATTTAAATATGTTTAACCATATTTGATCAAATAAAAGGAAATGTTAGTAAAATATTTAAAATTAATGGGAAAATATTGTAATTAGTAGTACAATAAACTATGTCATCTTATCTATCTATATAACTGTTATAAAACCTATCGTTAAATCTTGGCATGCAAAGAGGCATTGTTTAACTTGCTACCTATAAATTTATCTTTTTTATTTCCATCAAAAATTAATATCTATCCAACCTTTACAAACTTAATGAGTAGCCCATAAGTAGTTTTAGACACTTATCTGTTCAGCACATTACCCTAATTGAACAGCTATACTGGCATTTTTTAGGTAAGATATTTCTAGTGTGTAATTATTTTTCTTTGGTTTACTGGATAAAAAAATATAAAAGCAATGATTTTCATAAGTATAAGTATATAATATCATAAGTTAATTAAAATATTAAAATTTAATGGGAAAATATAATAATTAATAGTGCAATAAACTATGCCATCTTTTCTATCTCTTACAGTCATAAAACCTATAGTTAAAACTTTGTATACAAAGGGGCATTGTCTAAACTTGCCATAAATTTAACTTTTTTATTTCCATCAAAAATTAACATCCATCCAACCTTTACAAACTTAATGAGTATAAGTAGTTGTACTTATACTCATTAACTCATTACCTGTTGTAGTTAAACTTATCTGCTCGGCACATTACCCTAATTAAACAGCTCTATAGGAATCTGTTTAGGTAAGATGTTTTTAGTGCGTAATTATTTATCTTGGGTCTACTGGATTAAAACTTATAAAAGCAATAATTTTCATACTTCACTATAATACTCAACAGTTTGGATCTGATTTGAAAAAAATAATTCACTTACTATGTATATTATCGTTTAGTGGCTGGCATAGTTTGTAAGTAAGTGTTTATAAATTTTTATTTCCTTACGTTTATATTTATGTATAAATATCTATATTGAGCTATGTATAAAAAATCTCCCATATATTTTTTGTAGAGCCTGGCAGTCCAATGTCCAATAGACTCGACGTCCCATTCGCGCTGCCATCGGTCGAAACTGTAGTAACGTTCTTCTCTGGCAGCAGACTCTCTACCTACTTCAGGTCTCCCGCAGAAGATCACCTACCAGTCCCGCGCGAGATATATTATAACGTGGAAAACAGCGGCGACGATCATAGCTGCAGGAAACCGTGCGGTAGGCAGAAGTGACTTTGGTTTATCGTCGCTGAACGTCACAGGTAAACTAGTCACACAAGACGAATGAACTTTTCGAGTCAATCTCTTCAGCTCCTGAGCCCAGACGTTCCCACTGTACAATAACACCAAATGGACATCAGATATCAGTAGATA